TATGCAAACGCAATAAACCATACTTTTTTCCACCTCTGAACACCTATTGATATGCAGATATACTAAAGCCAGGCAAGATATTCTGGAAATATTACAATTTTACCCACAAACTCCCTCAGCTTTTGTTTGTCTGGGAAAGTCCTTATCTCTCCTTCATTCCTGAGGGATAACTGCCAGATAAAGTATTCTTAGTTGGAAGGCTTTTTCCTAGGTTTATTGTCATCCTACTCTCTCTTGGCCTACAAAATTTGGGCTGAGAAATCCACTGGTGGCCTTATGGGGGTTCCCTTGTATGTGAGGGACTGTTTTCTTTTGCTGCTTTAAAAACTCTGTTTGGTTTTAGGTAATTTTATTATAATGTGTCCTGGAGATGATCATTTCAGGTTGAAATTTTGAGGTGATCCATTAGCTTCATGAACTCAGATGTCTAGATCTCTCCGCAGATTTGTGAAGTTCTCAGCCATTATTTATTAACATACACTTTCTGCCCCCTTATCCCTCTCTGCTTCTGGGACTCTAATAATTCACAGATTATTTCTCTTGATGACATCCTATAGTTCAGGTAGGCTTTCTTCACTCTTTTTCATTCTTTTTTCTTTGCTCACTTCTGATTGGATAATTTCAAAGATTCTATAATTATACTTAGCAGATTATTCTGTTTGATCCATTCTGACTTTAATGCTATTGCATTTTTAATGTAATTCATTGTATTCTTCAGCTTCTGAATTTCTATGATTGTTTCTTATGTGATTTCTACTTCTTTGTTAAACTTCTCATTCTTCTGTGTATTGTTTTTATAAATTTGTTTGTCTTTCTGTGTTCTCTTGAAGTTCATTGAGACTCCTTAAAACAGCTATTTTGAATTTTTTATCTGGTAAATTGCAGATCTCCATGTCTTTGGGGTAAGTTACTAGAAAACTATTGACCTTTGGTGGTATCATGTTTCCTTGATTTTTCACATTCCTGGAAGTCCTGCACTGCTGTCTTTGAAGTAGTTCTCACTTCCTTCACTCGCTCCTGCAGTGACTTCAGGAGAGAAATACCTTCTGTCAGCTATCCTAGGGATTCTGAGACCTTCTAAAGATGTGCCCACTCTACACCTCTTGCTCCCTCTTGTGGAAGAATTCTTAAGCTTATATACCTTCCCTTGGTCTTGCAAAGCATCAGGCCATATACTAACAGCCTGCCTTTTGCTTTCAAGGATGGTTCTAAATGTTCAAGTTGGAGGTCTCTCTCAGGCCCACAGATTTGCTCTGGCTTTCTGCACATGCCCCCTAGCTGTCCGGAAAAGCTCAATCTCACTGTCAATAGGGGCTTGCTCAGGGAGCCAGCCAAGGTTTGGGGGGGGCGGAGCATGACTATGAGGTGCATGGAGCTATGGGCATGCCTGTGGACCTGTGGGCCAGTCAGGGTAATCTCGGGTGAGTGGTCCCTAATGGCTTGTGGAAAATTCCTGACACAGTTATTAGGATCCATGTTTCTTTGATATTCCATTCTTAGCCCTGGATGTTATTCTTCCAGCTCATCACTGACCTCAAGTTGTGAAACTCACACCTCGGTACTCTGGGTGGGCCAAAAGAGAAATGGGCCTTGTTGGTAGGTCCTGCATAGCTGGGGAAACTGGGTGCTTATGTACATTTTCTCATTTTCCCCTGTGGGAGGATTCACAGGCTGACCAGTGCTCTCTTGGTACTGAACTATTCTACCTGCAGGTACGGGTAATACAAGTAAAGTTATATTGTTCATCTTACTCTCTCCAGTGTATCCAATCTTGGATTTTTTTTTGTTGTTCAAGTGGTGTGCTAGAACTTCTCTTCTAGACTTCTACACTTTCACAAAGGCTCTTTTTTCCATGGGTGATTTTCCAAGTTATGTTCTCTAGGGATTCCCAGACTGCAGTTAAGAGGGGCTAGACTCATTCCACAGGCCACAGTTTGGACTGAGATTTGTATGCCTATTATCTGACTTACAGATGGGTAAGACTCCTTCTGAGTCCCTTGGAGGATGGTGCTAGTAACTGAACCAAAGCTAAATGGGGGCTGTAGCTGAGTCTTCAGGGTTACAGAGCTGTTTCTGGGTCTAGAGTTGTTTCTGTCTATAGCTGGGTCTGTAGTAGGCAAGTCAGCAGCTTGTCTTCTCAAAATGGTTCTCTGCATTCTTAGACTGTATCAGGGTTTCACAATTTCTTACTTAGAACCCAGAGCTCCCACAAAGGCACTTTTGTCTCTAGATGGGTGCTAAATTGATGTTGAGAGCAGTATATGAGTAAAGGGCATCTTACATGGCCTTCTTGCTGATGTCATTTCCCATTGGTCTATTTGACTATCATTGCACAAATACCACACTGTCATAATTACTGTAGCATTATAATACAAGTCTTCATATCTGATAGTGTAAGCCCTCCAGCTTTGTTGTTGTTTAAAGTTGCTTTGGCTCTTCCAGGACCTCTGCATTTCCATATAAATTTTAGAACCATCTTGATTTACACAACAAAACTTGTTGGCACTTCTGTTGAGATTGTATTGAATCTATATATCAATCTGGGTAAAATTAACACATTAAAAATAATGAGTTTTCTAACCCATAAACATAATATATCAATCTATTTATTTGAACTTTTTTAAATTTCAGCAATATTTTATAATTTTCTGTCTGCTGCAACTTTTAAATAACATTCTTTTATTTCTATTCTGTTTTCATTTTCTTTAACTAAAAAAAGAAAAAAATACACGACTGCATCTACTTGGCTTTCCTATTAGACATGGATTTCCCTTAAATATTGTATTCCTTCTCTATCTCCATTTTCCCCCACACCTAAATACAATGAGACATCATATGATGGCTAATAGTAGGTTGAGGGAGGTAGAATTGAAATCATTGTACCCATATTATTACAAATGACTAAAATTCTCACCAAAATCTTAAGATAGAATCTGATAGCTTAAGATAGGTAAGATAGCTTTTTTATTCTACCATTTACTGTTGACATCAGATTCCATAACTCTTTCTTTAATACGCTTATATCAGGAGAATACATTTTAGCAAAAGCACTTTGGTTATCAGTTATCTCTCTGCAATTACCATTTAAGCAACAACTTTAATGCTTTTATCACCTATAAAAGAAAAACCCCTGGTAGAGTATTTAAGGAGGTGGTAGACTAGGAGAGGCTTTTTCTTAGCAAAATTTTGATCTAAGGGTCTAAAGCCTGATGGTATACCCTTTTGTGTTTTATTCATATTCACAAAATTAACTCCCACTCTAGAGGTTAATTCTTCTTGCATCTTTAATTCTGTTCAAGAATCTCATCAGGAAATTTTTAGGACCCTCATTTCTGAAAAATTATTCAGACTAAACCCTGGTTCTTCTGAGAGTTCTTTGAAACCTTGTTTTTCTAAAAGCTTATCTTCTAGTTTAATGCTCCTTGGTGTTCATCAAGTGCTTATATTTACTTAATTTTATTTGAACTTTGTAACTCTGTAAGACGGATAGCATTTACACACAGAGAGGCACCACATAATTTCTGCTGTCTTTCCTCTAACTTTATATATTTCAGGTCACCTTGGAAAAATTCCCAACATTACCTATATAGGAATTGATTTTCAAGATTAGCATAACACCCAAATGGCATCCTAATTTTCCAGTTCAGGTCTTCACATTATTTAGTTTTCATTGCTCATATGGTCAGTATCTACTACAGTTCCTAGCCCATCATTTCTATTGATTTGCCTCTGCTTGCTCCAGCTGAAAAGGCTCCCTGAACAGAAAGCTTGCAGAGAATGCTGAGATAAGGGTTATGTCTATAAGTATATTTTGCATTTGAAAACCCTAGGCAAATAGCCATGCAGATCATTTTAGTTTCTCCATATTTAGATAGGTGTTATGGCCTGCCTATCTGACCAGCTTATCTCCAAGAACTTTATGGGATGATAAGGACAAGAATATAGTGACAAGATGGCTGAAATGTACTTATTTATACCATCTACATGTTGGTCCTAATTCTGCCCTCTGAAAAGGCAGAGAATAAGTTCAGTTTCTCTTCTACATGGTAGCTCTTTAAAAATTTTAAGGCAGCTGTGGCTCCCTTTTCTTATATTCCCCAAGCCTTCTCTTTTTCCAAACCAGTATGAACAACTAGACATGTACTGTGTTGGTCATCCTTCACAGCATGCCATCTAGTTCATTGATATTTTATCTAATGTTACCTACATTATTAATACAGTCTCAAGCACCATGTTTGATAGGCATCTTGGTTCATACAGTAGATTTATACAGCAATAAAATGTATGGATTACAGTTTCTTGAGTCAGAATGGATGAATCTCACAAATACAATGTTGAGTGAAAGAAACCAGAAACAGAAGAACATATACTGTTTGATTTCCTGTATATAACAATTCAAAAAAACAGAAAAACTAAAGCGTTAATGTTCAAGGATACATGCTTAGGTGGTAAAGCTATGAAGAAAGATGAGGACATGATTCTCATAAAAATCAGGTTAATGGTTACCTCTGTGGAAAAGGGGGACCCTGGGGTGCTGGTTACCAGGCTGATTCTCTGAAAACCTCTTGAGATACATATTTCTGTGGGCTCACTTTTCTGTAGTGTATTTCTTTACAACAGAAAAGGTTTTTCAAAAAAGGACAGTGTTTTTCTGCTTTCAGTTTCTCGAATATTGTTGGGGACGGCCTTTGTCTTCTCACATGTCTGAAGGCAGAATGGGAAAGCACCTTCCCCCATGTCTGAAAGCAGCATGGGAAAGCACCAGCTTGAGAACAACCGGTGCAGTCCTTGGAAGTTATCTGCCCACAAAAACATATCTTGTCCTCAAAGACGAGCCAAGACACCTCACTCTGAAAATAAGGAGACCTTGAGGACATGTGAAAACACCGCCCCTGCTTACTAGGCAGTTTCTAAGAAAATCAACAAGGTGCTCTGGCCTGCCCCCCCTGAGAAGAGAAAGATGAGTATAGCGCTTGGCTGAGATCCGAGAAAGACAGTATAAAAATAAAGGTGCTGCGCCACATCGGGGCTGCAGCCATTGTCTATCTGTCTGTGGTGTCTGTGTTTTTTGTTCTCTCATGTCACCCAAAGAAAACGTGCGGAACGCTACATCTGGCGCCCAACGTGGGGCTCGAGTGGACGACCCCACTGTGAGGCAGGACCTCACAACCCTGAAGAAATTGGAGAGGGGATGCCAGGGGTGACTTGAGACCCAGAAGGGGACCAACATCGGGTAAGCCGACAACCGCGATAGTTGGACTTCTGGAAGAAATAAGGAGTACTAGTGGGGAACTCTCCCTCTTTAAAGAGGGAGTATCAACAGCTCATACAGGGACTTCTGTATTCTCTTGGCTTAACTGCCAAAGATAAGCTGTTGAAAGATTTATTTACCAGGGTCCGGAAGCATTGCTTTTGGTTTCACTTTCAGTCAGAGGTGCAATTAAATAATGAAGCATGGCGTAAAGTTGTTAAAACTCTTCGCCAGGCTCATCAACAGGGGGACACAATGCCTGCTACTTTGTGGTCCCTTTGTGCCTCTATTTCTCAAGCTTTGCAGCTGTTAGAAACGGACTCTGAGAGAGATGCTCGCTCTGCTGTCTCTGATAAACGTAGTCCTTATATGAAGATGTTCCAGAGGTTTTGAGTTTGCCACCTCCCCCTGACGAGGGTGGGGCTGAGTCTGATCTGGAAGACAATATATTGATGGAGTTTAGAGAAATTGACAGTAGCTACCAGTCCCCCCAAGCTTTCACCCTCTGCTCCGCTGCTTTCTGCCTTTCCCACTTTTCTCCCACCTCCACCGCCGCTGCCAGCTGCTGGACGCTCCTTTACTGTTCCCAAAGGACCTGGTCCTGGTGCTTGTGATGAAGTTCTGTCTTCCCAATCACTAGATGAGAGATCCCTTCTAACATCCAATTCCCTCAAGGAGGACTTGAGGCAAATTATCTCCCAGGAACATATAAGGTCCTGAAAGAGTTAAAACAAGCTGTCCAAAATTATGGCCTTCAATCTTTTGTATTAGGCCTACTTAAGACTGTTTCTGCAGAAAATTTGTTGCTACCCTTAGATTGGGAAAATATCTGTAAAACTGTTTTAGAAGGTTCACAATGGTTCAGTTAAAAAGCTGGTGGTATGAAGAAGCTACCTCACAAGCTAGGAGGAATGCCACTCGGCAACCTCCTGGTCCGGTGGAGTCTGAACTCACCGGGACAGTGCCTCATGCCTCCTTGGAAGCTCAAGCTAGACTTAGTGATTTGGCCTTAACCCAAGTGAAGTCCATAGTGTTAAAATCATAGATGAAAATTGAAATCTCAGGAAAAGATAGCCTCTTCATTCACAAAAACCACCCAAGGTCCTTTGGAACCATATACTGATTTTTTATCTCATTTAAAGGATGCTGTTTTCCGCAGCTTAGGAGATAGTCCTGCAGCTAACACGCTTCTTCAAGTACTGGCATTTGAAAATGCAAACCCAGAGTGCCAGAAAGTGCTTTGTCCGTTAAAAGTTAGCGGCACTCCAGTTGATGAATTTATAAGAGCCTGTGCTGGCATAGGCAGAGTTGCTTATCAAGCTGAAATTCTTGCTGCTGCACTTCAAAAAAGTACTCCTAAAACTAACTTGTTTTAATAGTGGAAAAAGTGGACAAATAAGAGAATGCAAAACAGAAAATATAATTTCTTACAAAAAGCATCTAAGGTAATGTAAATAGAGCCTGTAAAATAATCAAGCTACACCCTCAAACCAACATGTAAATAGCTCTATTCTATTAACTCCTTTCCTTAGAGGCAGTTGTCCTAGAGCTAGGCATTTACTTGTCTGCAGCCCCAAGAAAGGGAAACAAGCTTTTGTAATCCGAATCAAGACTCTAGCAGTGAGAGGTCGCACAGTCCCTGCACTTATCAGACAGGCCGGGGGCTCTCAAAGAATGACTAATGCTCAGGCAGAAAAAACTAGGAAAACTAACTGAGCGTAATTCAATCCCTAAACTCTAAGAAGGAAGTGTCTTATCTTCTGCACACAAACCTGGCCTCAATACAAACACTCTGATTAGAGAGGCTTGGCCCCTTAAAGAAGTATACAATATAATGTTATGTAGCTAAATATATTTTGCCACAAGGAAAATAGTCATAAGTCCCATGAACTACTACAATACAGAACTAGTTTTCTAAATTCTTTTAGTGAAAATCTATTCTACTTTCTGGGTTCATCATTATCTTTGAAAATTGGGAAGTTTTAAATTAGAGTCCCTGAGATAGAAGAAATTTATCTTTTACAATACAGCCTGGCTATAAATAACTCATGCTAGAATTGTACATGCATTTTATTTCCAGCTCCCTGGACTGGGGCTGTCTAAACCTTAACCCAGTAATGTAAACTGCTCGCCCTTAGAGTGTAATATTGAAAACTGAAGTACTTTGATCAAGTAAGCTAAAAAGAAAGAAGACAATTGAATATTAGTAACTCAAATCTTTATGTCAGTTTCTCTGTGTATATGTTTTTATATGAAAAGTGTTGCTAACTGAAGTCATTATGTCTCAGTCTGTATGTTTGTGTGTCTAAGTGTGTAAATAAAAAATATTTTCTACCTCAGGATGGTATTAATAAAAATTGATTTAAAAATAAGCGCTTGTGAAAATTGAGCATTCTAAAACTTCCAGAAAATCTAATAAAAAATATTAAGCATTAATGCTAATTTAAGCTTAACTGAAATGGACATGCCCTTATAGTTATCAGGTGCCAAAGTTTACTTAAAGTCATTTAAGTTGATGTTACCTGTTAAACATTTCAAGAAGATGCTTAAAGAAAAGCTTGACTTTGATGTGTAGTAAAAGTTTTGTAAGTAATCTAGCATGGTTGCTAAAAATAAGGAAACAAGTGTAACAAATGAACATCTTAATAATAATACTGTATTAATGTATAACGGTGTATATATCTGCAAACAGCCTGAGAATTTTTGTGGTAACCAAAATTCTTGAAGTTTTGCTAAGTTATATAGACATATTTTGTATTTAATGAGAAATTGTCCTGTAAGGCAATTGCCAAAAATGATAAAATATGTTCATAAATGTATCAATCTGAAGAATGCTGGTGTAACAGTTTACAATAGTCTATTTTTCAGTGTTCACTGAAGGTTAAGGTACCAAATAGTTCTAAGTGCTAATTAAACTGACTTAATATAATAAGGAAAACATTTCTGTATGCTAAGAATGTATGTTTTAATAAGAAAAGGTATAAAGAATAGAAATGCATTGTGTTGAAAGTAAAAGAAGATAACAATTCAAAAGTACAGCTATTTGTTCAAGAAAAAAACACTGAAAAGTTGTAAAAGGTTTATGAAAGATTGACATAATCATGCTATGTGAAATTAAAGCAAAGAAATATTGATATCACGTACATAGCAAGACTAGAATTTTTGTTTGTTAAAAGAACAAAAGTCTATTAGACTACCTTTAATGTTGAAAGATTGTAGAAAGTTTTCTAATTAGTTATTAAAATAGTTTCTTATGCTTAAAGACTTAATGAATTGTCTGTGTATTTAAGAAAATAAGATTAATTTTAAAAAGACTAAGCTTAGTGTTGTTAACTATGTAAAGCTCTGTATTTGCTTTTAAACCTTTTTATTATTATTCTAGTTAAATAACAAGTGTTATTTAATAACTATAATTCTATTTAGGCAAGTGCCTTAAAAACTTTTGACAACTTCCCAAGACAAAATTTAAAAAAGTATTTTTACCTCTAGTTAACTCTGATATTTTCCAGAGGGCCCCTGGAACATGTCAGAGAAATTCCTTCTCCTCATCAAGGAAAATATTTGACTAATTTGGCTTATTTACCTGATATATACTTACCTGGAAAGGGCTATCAAAAGGAATAATGTTAAATTTTATTACTGAGTGTTTTATGTTACAGAAATATCCAAACTTCCATATATCAACTATTTTACAGTAAGTTCTCATCAGATCTTTAACCATTGTCATTTGTGAATCTTTTCTTGTTTATAATCACTGTTTAATTACTCCTAAGCTACTAAAGAACTAGATTTCAGCAGAATAGGTATTAGTTACCTAAAATTAAGTAAACTAAAGAAAAATGATTATGTAGCTTCTTGTTTCAAGGGTTGCTGATAAAATGTTTTAAGCTTTTTCTCTTAAGCTGACTGACAACGCTCCAGTTTACCTCTCCTCTGTGTTACATACATTTTTTCAGCTATATAACATCACTCATAAAACAGGCATTTCATACAATTCTACAGGCCAAGCTCTCATTGACTATTGTCATTTTACTCTTAAACATTATTTATTAATACAAAGAGGGGGGATTACTTCCCGATATGACAAAATTAATTGCAAATTGACGATCAATGCATGCTTTACATATCCTTAATTTTGATCTTTTAAAAGGTGACGGACGATCAGCAGTGGAAATACATTTTTCTGATAATATTTCCTTTTCTGAAACCACAACAGTTCCTGTGTGGTAATCTCCAATAGGTTCTTCACTATGGCATAAAAGTCATATCAAGGTGTGGGGCAAAGAGTTTGCTGTGTTGTTACAGAGGATCAACGCTTGATCTAGCTACCCAGAGAATGAATTCAGATACAATATAAAGAAGAACTTCCAACATCAACATCCTCTAGAAGAATCATTCCAGAAGGTGACCATCAAAAAACCTCAACAAAAGTCTGCACATCAGACATGGAAAACTGAAGCCCAACTAAATAATAGTATCTTTGTTTTTATTTCCAATAATGGCACTTACATATGTACATACTACACAAGCTTGCATTATAACAGCAAGTGTAAGCAACCCTCCTTATTTAAGCCGTGGTGTAGCTCTGTATTGCTTATCTACTTGCTCCACTCCTATAGGCCCTATAGTATGGAAAAAGAATGGTGAAGAAATATAGAGACAAATGATGGAGGAAAACTTGGATGGAATGATATTCTGTTAGAGATGGTGATCATTGTGGTATTTATAAAGCAGTTTTGTCCAGAGAAGATATTGGCAATTACACCTGTGAAAAGTTTCAAAAAAGAACTCCTATCATAGAGTAATTATGTGTATATTTAAATATATCACTCATGCCAGAAAATAATTTTTCCTCACCTAATTTGTGGTTACAACAACTCGCAAGTAAGGGTTGCACATGTCATCTTTTTGTGTAGCAAGAGAGTCCTCTATCAGTGAACTGCTGAAGAAGAATTTAATAGGCACAAGACTTCCTCTTACAGTGTTCACTAACATATCAGGCATAAACATCACTCTTCCCCCTGAAGTGCTTGCTCCTGATGCCCAATTAAATTTACCTGTTAGTATTACTATAATTACTGATTGTATTAATTGTACTCATGTACCCTCTTACTGTGATTCTACAATCAATGTAAAATGGTCTTCTAGATATAGACTTCTGAATGGTTGGGTATTTTTGTGTGATAATGAAACATATCAAGCCCTCTCTCCACACTATCAAGGTGTTTGTGGTGTGGGATGCATTCTTCCTGCCATAATAAATCATCCAAGATATAAGCCCAATAGACTTCTCCGAGCTCTGCCATCTGATTGTGATGAAAACTTGAAACTTTCAGATCCTGCCGCTATTGCAGTTGCAGCTGCGTTCCTCCTGCAGGTTCCTGGACTTGTCGTTAGAATGTTAAAGGAGATATCTAAGCTGGCCTGCGCATATAGTAAAACAACAAATTTGACTGCTTCTATATTATCTGAACTCAACCAAGAACTGGGAGAAGTGCGAGTTGCGGTACTTCAGAATCACGCTACTATAGATTGTCTGCTGTTAATAGAACATGAAAAATGTAAGCAGTTTCCAAGAATGTGCTGTTTTAATTTGTCTGATTTTTCTCAAACTACCCAAAATCAATTAGATGATAGCCATCATATTGTCAATAAGTTTTTACAAATGCCTGAGCTATCTAACTGGTTTTCGTAATTTCATTAGATATAACTATTAATTGTAAGCCTGCCTTTGTTATGTATCTGTATTCCTATTCTGTTAATGTGTGTATGCAATTTAACTAGTAGTTTGTTAAAACCTATATATATATTCAAATTATGTCTGTCAACATGTTCGATCTCAGCCATGTAATATTTAAAGAAAGGAGGAGATGTAGGGGAAGGCCTTTGTCTTCTCACATGTCTGAAGGCAGAATGGGAAAGCACCTTCCCCCATGTCTGAAAGCAGCATAGGAAAGCACCAGCTTGAGAACAACCGGTGCAGTCCTTGGAAGTTATCCGCCCACAAAAACATATCTTGTCCTCAAAGACGAGCCAAGACACCTCACTCTGAAAATAGGGAGACCTTAAGGACGTGTGAAAACACCGCCCCTGCTTACCAGGCAGTTTCTAAGAAAATCAACAAGGTGCTCTGGCCTGCCCCCCCTGAGAAGAGAAAGATGAGAAAGATCTCACTTGGCTGAGATCCGAGAAAGACAGTATAAAAATAAAGGTGCTGCGCCACATCGGGGCTGCAGCCATTGTCTATCTGTCTGTGTTGTCTGTGTTTTTTGTTCTCTCATGTCACCCAAAGAAAACGTGCAGCAGGCTACAAATATCCTAGATAGAGATCCAACAGTCTCATCTGTAAGTTCTTTAGGGTCTTAGGGTCCAGCCAGGTGAAGGGAAATTACTCTTGATGTTTCAAACAGGGAATTTAATAAAAAGAATTAATTAGAAAGATTTTGAAAAGAATGATAGAACAAAAGGAAGAAGGGATGATACCTGGAGATCAGAAATTAATATTCCTGGAGCAAAGCTCACAAGCTTGTACCTACTACTGCCCTGATAGAGACATTATTACTATCAAATCTAAGTTAGTCAAAGTAGTATCACCTTAACCAGGGCTAGAAACTGTACTTTTGGTGCCACTGTAACTCTTGTCAGCAACTGCTACCTTTGAGAGCCCAAAGTAGGAAGCATCTCTCTTCCTCCTGCCTTCTGATTTGCCAGTGGCTCCACCTGGCAGACTGTAAGAGCAAACTAAGTTGACAAGAGAGCCTGGAAAATGTACAGAGCAAAATATAGAATGATAAGAGTAAAGCTGAGGGGCATGGGTAATGGGTTGAAGGACCAGACACAGGTGCCTAAAATTTAATTTTTACAGATTGTTGAGATGTTGTCTGAAGAGTTGCTTAACTCATCACCCTTTCCAGACCAATCAATAATAATTTTCTAACACAGAGAAAATAGAAGTAAAATAGATACTGGGTAATTCTTTTTTCTCTAGTTCATTATTTAAAGTTTGAGTGTCTGGAAGCTTTGAACAAAAACTTGGCTTAATAGCATAGTGGTTAAGAGAGCAGACTCTGAAGCTGGAGTGCCTAGGTTAAGATCTAGACTCTGCTGCCCTCTAGGTGTGTGGCCTAGGCAAGTTATTTAATGTCTTTATGTTTTAGAGATTAAGATTACAGATAAGGAAATAGTTTCCTTATCTGTGAAATAGGGGTAATAATATCACCTTCCTTTTGAGGTTGTTACAGAATTTTATGAATTAATTATGTAAAGTGCTTAGAACATTGTTTAGGAAATAATGATCACGATGAATATTAACCATTTTATTAATACTTCTTTACCCAATTTACCACCATTAAATGCTAACATGGAGAAGGCAATACACTTTCATTTTTCCTACATCCAGTTGGTTTTGAAGGAAACGTTTTGCTTAAAATGATAACTGATGGACTCGGTATTCCTTACCTAGAAATTTTCCTTTGGGGTGAGACTCTTCAGTCAAGAAGATGTTGAGGATTTTCAGGAAGGAGTGGTGAGATGGAGAAAATAATTAACTTGATTCTTGTTAATGGTTGCCATTGATACATACTGTCAGAAAAAATACACCAAGTAAAAATATAATGGACAATTCAGTGACTAGCCACTAAGAAAAAAAAGGAAAGGGAAGTATTGGAAATGGAAACAAGATATCAATGATTTAGTCTTGTTAAGTATCTTTCTGTTGAATAAGTATCTTTCTATAGAAATATATATATTTCTATGTAAGTATCCTCTATTCAAACAGAAGAGGGATTTGCTCCTGGAGACCACACATAGGAGTAGATGTCTCTGTTCGATAGCTACCAACAGAGGAGTTTATAAGGCATACATTTAGAGTTGAAAGAAAAAGTACATGGCCATTACTTAGGATGGATGTCGAAATACTTCACTAATTAAACATTTATATGAATATATTCAGTCTTTTAAAGAGAAACTCAGGACTGTGGCAGATGTAGATTACAGCTGAATCATTTAGGTTAGTTTTTCTAAATGCTTGTCCTAGGAGGAAAAACATGTTAGATTAGATGATAGTATGACCAGGAAAGAAAAGTTCAGTCCCACAACATAAGCTAGTTTACCTATGACCACTTCTTTTTTTTTTTTTTTTTGATATAAGGGGTGGAATGAGGAAAGTGTTCTGATTATCTCTTGTATAACAAACCACCCCAAAGGTAAAACTATTTTTGTCTCACATGTTTGTTGGATAACGAGGCTCAGCTAGGCAATTCTTGGCTGGGGTTGGAGTCCTCAAAAGGCTGGATTGGGCTGGGTGTTCAAGGGGGCTTATTCACATCACTGACAGCTGATGCTGGCTGTGGGCTGGGAACTCCACTGGGGCTGTCAATGGGAGCAACTACAGGTGCCCATCCCATGTGGCCTAGGCTTATCACACCATTATGTCTGGGTTTTGAGAGGGGCTAGTCCAGGTGGCTCAGGTAGAAACTATAAGGCTTCTGACTTCACCTCAGAATTCACATAGACACTCTTATGAATTGGTCAAAAAGTCAGAAGACCAGTCAAGATTCAAGGGGAAGGGAGGAATATGGGAAGGTCACATAAGGCATGAATACAGGGAGGCACAGGCTCATTAGGGGGCCACCACAAGAAGAAAAGATAAAAATGTGTACAATTTGGCTTGCACAGAAGAGTCAAAGAAACAACGAAAGAGTGAAATAGTGGCAATAAGGAATTTGGCCAGGGGGTGGGGTGGGCAGAATATCCAGTATGGAAAAGAGAGTGAAGGGCATTAAGTATTGTGTCTCTACTATATTCTGAATAGGCACTGTGATTACAAAGATGAATAAAACATAGACTGCACCCCCTCTAGGAGTTAATGTCTTTTGGGGGCATATTTTGAAAATATCTTCTGCCTATTGGTGTGTACAGTGTGGTGGTGGGGAGGGGATAAGTGAATATAAACACAAAAATAGTTGTTTTATTTTCTTTTATTCAAAAGGGACAATTATGAGGAGGGGCTTAGTCATAAATTGCCTTTTTTGTATCAAATGTACATCACAGTGGTTGAACAGTCCTACTCCCATTCCAACCCACTCCCACCCATTCTCCTCCCCTTTAGTATCCACTAGTCACTTCTCAGTGTCTATGAATCTAATGCTGTTTTGTTCTTTCTGTTTTGCTTTGTTTTTATATTCCACAAAGAAGTGAAATCATATGGTATTTGTCTTTCTCTGCTGGATTATTTCACTAAGCGTAATACACTCTAGCTCCATCCAAGTTGTTGCAAATGGTAGGATTTGTTTCTTTCTTATGGCTGAATAGTATTCCATTGTGTATATGTACCACCTCTTCTTTATCCATTCATCTACTGATGGACACTTAGGTTGCTTCCTTATCTTGGCTATTGCAAACACTGAGGTGACAAACAAAGGTGTGCATATATCTTTTTGAATCAGGGATTTTGTTTTATTTGGGTAAATTCCTACAAGTGAAAATACTTGGTCAAACAGTATTTCTATTTTTAGTTTTTTGAGGAACCTCCCTACTGCTTTCTGGTTACACCAATTTGCAGTACCACCAACAGTGTAGGAGGGTTCCTATTTCTCCACATCCTTGCCAGCATTTGTTGTTTCTTGTCTTTTGGATAGTGGCCTTTCTAAACAGTATGAGGTGATATCTCATTGTGGTTTTAATTTGCATTTCCCTGATGATTAGCGATGTGGAACATCTTTTCATGTGCCTTTTGTCCATTTGTATTTCTTCTTTGGAGAAATGTCTGTTTAAGTCCTCCGCCCATTTTCTAATTGGGTTATTTGTTTTTTGGGTGTTGATGCATATCAGTTCTTTATATATTTTGGATGTTAACTTTTATCAGATGAGTCATTACAAATATAGTCTCCCATACTGTAGGATGCCTTTTTGTTCTACTGATGTTGTCCTTTGCTGTACATGAAGCTTTTTAGTTTGATTTAGTACCACTTGTTCATTTTTTATTTTGTTTCCCTTGCCCAAGGAGATGTGACCAGGAAAAAATTGCTTATCCTTAATTCCAAGAGATTTGTGCCTATGTTTTCTCCTAATAATTTTATGGTTTCATGACTTACATTCAGATCTTTAATCCATTTTAAATTTACTTTTCTGTATGGGGTTAGACAATAATCAAGTTTCATTCTCTTACAGGTAGCTGTCTAGTTTTGCAAACACCAGCTGTCGAAGAGGCTGTCATTTCCCCATTGTATATTTATGGCTCCTTTATCATATATCAATTGATCATACATGTGTGAGTTTATTTCTGGGTTCTCTGCTCTGTTCCATTGATCTATGGGTCTGTTCTTGGGCCAGTACCAAATCGTTTTGGTTACTGTAGCTTTGTAGTAGAGCTTGAAGTCATGGAATGTAATCCCCCCAGCTTAGTTCTTCTTTCTCAGGATTGCTTTGGCTATACGGGGTCTTTTGTGGTTCCATATGAATCCTAGAACTATTTGTTCTAGTTCATTGAAGAATGCTTTTGGTATTTTGAGAAGGATTGCGTTGAACCTCTAAATTGTTTTGGGCAGCATGGACATTTTGATAATATCAATTCTTCTTATCCATGAGCATGGGGTATATTTCCATTTTTTGGTGTCTTCTATAATTTCTCTCATGAGTGTCTTATAGCTTTCAGAGTATAGGTCTTTCACCTCCTCAGTTAGGTATATTCCTAGGTATTTTATTCTTTTTGATGCAATTGTGAATGGAATTGTTTTCCTAATTTCTCTTTCTGCTAGTTTATTGTTAGTGTATAGAAATGCAACAGATTTCTGTGTATTTATTTTGTGTCCTGCAACTTTCTGAATTCAGCTATTAGTTCTAGTTGTTTTTTGGTAGACTTTTTAGGGTTTTCTATGTATAATATCACATTATCTGAAAATAGAGTTTAACTTCTTCTTTACCAATTTGGATGCCTTTTATCTCTTGTGTTGTCTAATTGCCATGGCTAGAACCTCCAGAACTATGTTGAATAAAAGTGGGGAGAATGGGCATCCTTGTCTTGTTCCCAGTCTTAAAGGAAAAGCTTTCAGCTTTTTGCTATTAAGTGGATGTTGACTATGGGTTTGTCATATATGGCCTTTATTTTGTTGAGATACATAATCTCTATACCCATTTTGTTGAGAGTTTTTATCATGAATGGATGTTTAATTTTGTCAAATGGCTTTTCAGCATCTATTGAGATGATCATGTTGTTTTCTCCTTTTTATTAATGTGGTGTATGATATTG